TTTTTTCTTTTTTTACGTATATGAGTCCCTGATTTTACAATAAGAGTCCACTTGATTTTATTATTATTAGCAATAATAATAATATAATAAGGACAACAATGTACACAGTTTTAAAAGATGTGTGACATTTTAAAACAATTGTGCAATGCCCCGTCTTTCATTATAGGTCCTGTTTATTTTTATTCACAATCTTTTTTTTTTTCTTCTCAGTTTTTGAACAATTCCTAAAGTTTTTATAACATCCAATAAAAGACAATATATCAGTACAACATGTAATTAAATATCGGCTGATCTTTTTTTTTCGATATTTCAGTTTGCGGGGTCTGATGTGCTTCGGCAGAAGTGATCAGTGATCTCAGTGTTTGTTCGAGTGCCACCGTGGCCTTAAAAAGACAAACCCGCATCATTCTTTTCGTGTAGCAGTACGTGTTTTTCTTAACCTGCATTACAGTGTGTGTTCTACTGTAAATACACACTAGCACGCTATCAGTACACATGTATTCAAGTGTGTTGTAGTGTACGCGTTCAATCTGGATCACCGCAGAAGGCGCAGAGGGAAGAGAGAGGAGATCTCCAGAGCAAAACTCCTCCTGTCCAAAAACAACATGTTCTCCAAATTCACCTCCATCCTACAGCACGCTGTCGAGGCGGTGAGAGCTTTCAAAACTACATCTGACCCTATTTAAATGACTGTTTGAGTAGGAAAATAATGAAGTGAGAGTCGATTAGTGTTGAAGGCCTGTTAGCCAAACACATAAGCTAACAGCTTATGTAATAAATAACAGATGACAGACAAAACCTCTGAAACTGTTTTAACTGTCTCCTCACGTGTGCTTAAGGGTGTGTGTCCGCTCGATTGTCGTTTATTGTGTTTTTATGATTCGTCGGGACATATTAAACCTTTGTTTGCTGTGTATTTATTTTAGCAGCTGTGCTAAATCTTGGCTAACGTTCATGTACGCGAACCTTTTGGGGTTCTAATCAATTTAAAGTGATATTTATAACATTTTATAAGATACATTGGCTGTATAATGTGAAATGTGCATTAAATTAATCAGCGTTAGCCAGTTAGCATGCTAGCAGCTCATTTGCAGGATGTAAACAAAACGGCTGTTACTATGACTCGCTTACGATTGGATACGATTCTTTACATGGTAACATCTAAATGCTTGCACATTCGCATAGGTTTATATTCATATTCCTTGGCAAAGTACAAACACTGTATTGTTTTATGAACATACTAAGTGTCCCCATACAGCGTTTAGACACTTAGTTGTATAAATGTCATTACATTAGAGGATAAACATCAACGCAATTGTCATTTATGTTAAAGGGGTCATATGATGTGATTTAAATTTTTCCTTTCTCTTTGGAGTGTTACAAGCTCTTGCTGCATAAAGATCTGTAAAGTTGCAAAGACTAAAGTTTCAAATCTAAAGAGATATTCTTTATAAAAGTTAAGAATCAGCCACGCCTACCTAAAACGGCTCGTTCTAACACGCCCCCACATGTCTACATCACTATGTGGGAAGATTTGCATAACGCCGCCCAAATGTTCACGCAAAGAAAGAAGGCGTAACTTTTATTCTCGCTGTAGTATTGTTGCCGCTTTCCACCATGTCCTGAAGACGCTGTGTGTTTCGTTGTGAAAGCAAAACTACTTTGTTTGGTCTTCCAAAAGAGGACGATATCCGCTTCGTCATGCCTAGAGCTGATCCGTGCTGGTCGCTGAGGGAATACATCAACTTAGTGCTGTGGAAAAGCGGAGTCCAGCCCGGGGTCGTCACATGTGGTTGCCGCAGGCATCACAGTATGGTGAGGGGTGTAACATTTCCGTCACACGCTTGAGGTATTCGGTCAATCACAACGCAACATTTTATGGAGGACTGTTTACTGATCCTGGGAGAGTAACGTTAGACTAAAATGCCTGCAGTTCTGACTCACGTAAGTACGTTTTCATTTAAAGGATTTGCCACTGATGATTCAAACGCGAGTTTTGGGCAGTGTGGAGTACTTGTTGTTTGTCATTTCTCTGATCAGAAATGCAGACAGGGTTTTATGTTTATGCGGCGCAATGCAACGCAACGCGTAAAAAGACAGTATAAGTCATTATAATCAGTAATTATGTCCCCACTGGATGCAACAAATGCCTCGTTTATAATGGGTTTTAATGTTTTTGTCTCGTCGCTCTGGCCGGACACGGCATCAACAGTATGGTGAGGGGCGTAACATTTCCGTCTCACGCTTGAGGTATTCGGCCAATCACAACGCACTGGATAGCTGGCCAATCACAGCACACCTCGCTTTTCAGACCGATGAGCTTTGTAAAAATCGACACGTATCAAAAAGGCGGGGCATAGCGGAGATACAATAATGTACAGTATGTGGAAAATAATGTGTTTTTTTAACTTTAAACCGCATAAACACATTTCATTATACCAAATACACAAAATAATGTTCTTTTTAGCAACATCATATGACCCCTTTAAAGATAGATTGCACGAGTACTATTTTAGAGCAAAATGTTTCTCAAAAATAAGTTTATTATTTTCTAAGCAAATGACATGCTGTTCAAAATTAAGATGAAAAGTATTGACACTTTGTGGTGTGAAATGTTCATAGGACACCTTTGTGAAATTGAGGCAAAATTACGAAATACATCTACTAAAATCACCAAAACGCAGTTAAAATTAACTGACAGAAAGTTCTATAAAATTTGTTTGCAGAGGACACTTGATTTTAATTTTTTTATAAATATAATGTGATGTCTTTCAGACATTTTAAGGAGAATTGTTTTAGGAGCCATTGTAGTATATTGTAATGGTGTGGTTGTGTTACACATACATGCATTGTTGCTGTAAAATACATATATCATATAGTAGGCATTTTGTTTTTATGATTTTGTTATTCAGCTTGCGCCGTCACTGCCATTGCAAGAGGACTTTGTCTATCATTGGAAGGCCATTACACATTATTACATAGAAACCTCAGGTAAGAGATGCAGTGATAGTCAGTCTTGCTTATTGTGCTTTTTTACCAAAGAACCATATGTAATCATCTGTTTACGTTTTTGTAGATGACAAAGCCCCAGTGACCGACACCAACATTCCCTCCCACCTGGAGCAGATGCTGGATATTCTGACCCAGGAGGAGAGGGAGAGAGAGTCAGGTGAGACGGGACCCTGTATGGAGTATCTTCTCCACCACAAGATCCTGGAGACGCTCTATACCCTGGGCAAAGCAGATGTGAGTGTTTTACTTGGAATGAGTGCTGGTTTCTATCAGTTGTTGACGTGTAAATATGAGAAACATCATCTGATTGCTTTTTAGTTTAGTAGGCTCTGATCCAAACCTTCTTATACAGCATCTTAACTGAAATGGAACTTCATAAATTATAAATTCGGAGCTCTCGCACACTCAACAGTTTGTTTCAGTAGAGTTTTCCATTAGCATAATCATGCCTAACTTTTGGAACAGCCTTTGTGTCACTTACGTTCCAGCTCACTAGGCTTTGGAAGAGAGCAGAGAGACTCTTCTAAATTGTGTGTCCAGAAGAGACTTACTCATTCACTGTGAGTCATGTTTAGTAAGAGAGACTGTCAGTTGCTTTGAATCCTTAGGAAAATAACTACTGGCTGTGAACAGAATGCACAGCGTCCCGATCCCGTTTAACGAACCTTCACACTGGATTATATTGCTATAAACTATAAAGAGTATTTATATTGAAAGAGAAAGTGAATCATTCTTTATGAATAACTGTAATATTGTAGCTCATCATTTATTTTAGTAATCTAAACTGGAATCAATGCAGTCCTGTGGTATGGGTTGAGTTGACTGTTGATTAGCCCTTTTATTTTAACCTAAAATAACACCTGTAATATAGTTCAACAAGTATTTTGGTTCAAATTGTTATAAAATGTATAATTCTATCTCTAAATGCTGATTTGGTGAGCTGTGTTCAAAGCATTTGTAAAATGTTGATAAATGCACACATCTGTGACCATACTTTCTATATTAATACTAGAAGAGATATCAGGTTGTTTGGTTGTCGTTAACCATTCAGTGGCCCCAAAGGGCTTTCTATAAATTTCTTTCCGTATAGGTACTTTATTATTTAAATAATATATGATTATTTTAATTTGTTTTATAGCAGTATAAAGTTTTGCTCACATTTGCAATAAAAAATTATATGAAAAGACTAATTTTAACCCATTTGCATGTGCGATCATTTTAATTTCTACCTTTTGCAAAATCTGCAAACGCCACCTACTGACAGCAATATATTAATGTGCAATATATTAATTCATCTTATGCTTTGACACTACCTTTCAAAGGGGTAGTGTGGGGTCAGTAACGTTTTTTAAAGAAATTAATACTTTTATCGACAAGGATATATTCAATTGATCAAAAGTGACAGTAAAGACATTTTCTAAGATTTCTGCTGTTCTTTTGAACTTTCTGTTCATCAAAAAAAATGAAATCATGGTTTACACAAAAAAAATATAAAACTGCTTTCAACATTGATAATAATCAGAAATGTTTCTTGAGCAAATCAGCATATTAGAATGATTTCTGAAGGATGATGTGACACTTAAGACCGGAGTAATGATGCTGAAAATTCAGTTTTACCATCACAGGAATATGTAACATTTTTAAATAAATTAAAATAGAAAGCAATTGTAATAATATTTCACAATATTACTGTTTTTATTGTATTTTGATTGAATAAATGCAACTTTGGTGATCAAACGAGACTTATTTCAAGGACATAAAAAATCTTACCGACTCCAAACTTTGGAATGGTAGTGTAAACTAAATGATTATTGTCTTAATACCTGTGTGAATCTTTGATCTTTGTAACTAAAGCTCAAAGTACCAATAAAACTTGTATTTGTCTTTTTTCTCCTGTGTGCTCCTCCTTAGTGCCCTCCTGGAATGAAACAACAGGTTTTGAGTTTCTACACCAAGCTGTTAGGTCGAATTCGCCAACCACTCCTGCCTCACATCAACGTGCACAGACCTGTACAGGTGATCAGAATTACAGTTTTAAACTCTCTTTGCACTTTAAAGGTAAAAAAACCCCCATCTCAAATACTTAAGCAACCATGCATGATGTATCTGATGGTGTTTCCACAGAAACTGATCCGCCTGTGCGGCGAGGTTCTGGCTGCTCCTACAGAGAATGAAGAGATCCAGTTTCTGTGTACTGTCTGTGCCAAACTTAAGCAGGACCCTTACCTCGTCAACTTCTTCCTGGAAGTGAGTGATTGAGAGATATGGGATCTGCTTGTGTAGGCAGCATTTATTATGGAACAGTGGCTGTATCTTCCATTGGCATGTCTCCATGTGTTTCTGCAGAATAAGACAAAACAATTGGTGGCTGCTAAAGACGGTGGAGCTGGTTTGGTGAAAGAGGATCCATGTTCTCCAGATACAGGACAGCACCAAAACCAAAATCCCAGTCTGGTCACATCCACACTACAAGCAGCAGCCTGTCAAGCCACCAGCCCAGGGGAAGCTAGTCCATCCTCCGTCCACAGTAGACTGCCAAACAACGATAACTACAACCTAGTCAGCTCCCTTCTTAACCTCACTAAGAGTCCAGTAAGTGCAGCTCTCCGTCTGCCACAGGATAAGCCATCCTGATGATTTTGATTCTATGCATGTTAACTGATCTTATCTCTTTCTCAGGATGGCCGTATTGTGGTGAAGGCATGTGAGGGTCTGATGCTGATAGTCAGTTTGCCTGAGCCAGCTGCAGCCAAATGCCTCACAGAGAACACCGAACTCAGTCAACTTCTCACAGGCCGGCTGGCACAATTCTACCGGGCCCTTCCTCAATCCATGGACCCTCTTGACATCGAAACTGTAGAGTCTGTAAACTGGGGGTACATGACATCTAATTTAGTACCTATATTATATTGCTAACACTTTTGAGTTTTAGGAGCAATACTAAAATTAATGGATTGGTTTTTTTTTTGTAAATGTATTTATAAATATTTAATACTATTAATTATTATTTTAACTGATTATTATATATTTTGACTAAATAGTTATTCTTGCCTGTTAGATTCAAAATGCAAGAAGTAAAATATCATATATAATATTTGAACTAAATATAAAATGTTTTATGCATGATTTCTATATTTTTTATTTACATTTAATTTAAATCAAAAAGTCTATAAAAATAGCTGTCCTATTGCTTAATGCATTTAGATCATTGCAATATTTATGATGATGATGAATTTTTATTGGCAGCAAACTTATCACAAATATATAATGATTTTTCCCTGTATTACCAAGAAATACAAGGATCTGTTTTGAATGAGTCTATGTGTATTTGTAGGTTGGATGTGTATAATCTAAAGGAAGATGCTGCTGCTTTTGCGGGCAAACGTGCACTTATTTCTTTCCTATCGTGGCTGGACTATTGTGATCAGCTCATTAAAGAGGCGCAGAAGGTAAAAAAAAAAAAAGCAAAGATCAGTAAATGTAAATGAGTCATGCTCAATATAAATCTTCAATCTGTCTATAAATGGCAGGAACATGTATAAAAAGTCAGTCATATTTTTAAATCAGATTTCACACATTGAAGTGTTTGTTTTTTAACATGTGTTTTGCTCTTCTGTAACGTTAGACAGCTGCTGCAGTTTTGGCCCGGGCTGTGAGAGAGCGGTTCTTTGTTGCTGTAATGGAGCCTCAACTAATGCAAACGTAAGTTATGTAAGCTATCTCAGGTTTGTTTGCCAGTCTCACATACTTTGCAATTGCACTGGCACTCCAATGCTTTGAACTGAACAGTAAAAAAGCTTTTCTTTCTCACACACTTTCTCATTCTAGGTCCGAGGTTGGCATTCTGACTTCAACAGCCCTGTTAAACAGGATCATCAGACAGGTGACATCAAAGGCCCTGCTTCAGGAGACCATTTGCTTCCTGTTGGGAGAGGAAACGGGGCCAGAGACGCTTGCTGGCATTACCCAGCATCCCCTGAGACACAGACTCATAGAACATTGTGACCACTTATCAGATGAGGTAACCCTGGCTGCCATGACTGCATAAATCAATGCATTTCATCCTCCTTAGACTAGACGATCTAGATGAAAGTGTTTTAAAACGGTGATTTCTAGACCTGCAAAAATCATGGAAAGTATTCAAATCTTACAAAGTAGTTGGAAGTACTAAATTGTATAGTGAATATGAATCTTTGTCAATATAAATGTATAGATATAAACCTCTGTAAAATAAGTCACAGATCATCATTGGATGGTTATCTCATTATAGATCTTCTGCAGCAATTTTTTATGTCTTCAAGTTCATGAAGTTCTGGTTCTATGTCTGGTTCTAGATAAGCATCATGACTCTACGGCTCTTTGAGCATCTGCTGCAGAAACCATGTCAGCTCATTCTGCAGAACCTGGTGCTGCGCTGCTTGGAAGAACGGAACTACATGGAGAACAAACAGCCAGAGGAACGAGAGGAGCGTGAACCCATGGAGAACGGCCAGCCGCATGACGCCGTGTAAGGGCTGCTGTCTCCACTGCTGCTAACCTTCCAGATCATTCTGATCAATGTGTCTGCATGGTTCTAAAACATGCAAAATCATAATGCACTGCAATTTCTAAATGAATAAAACTTAATTGCAAGTCAACCAAAGTGATACTTTTTTTAAATGTGTTTTGGTTGGATGTTGTATAATGATACTGTTTGTGATGGGATTTAGAGTTATTGAGTAATTAAAGGATGCGTGTATTTTTTGTAAGGTTTAACACTGAGTCTCTGTGACGCTGTAAAACAATGCTCTGTTTGAGCATGCACTGTAACATACCAACATTATCATGTCCGATGAACTGAATTTAAGACAGAATTATGTGTTTGGCGATCAATGGCAAATGGGGAGAGTGTTTGGGAAAACCTGTTTGACAACAATCAAATTACAAACAACAATATCTCATGCCTTTGAGAAATTAATGAGCAAACAGTACATTCATACTAATCCAGCTGTTGTGCTGAATCACAAACTGGAGAGGATTGCATGGGCTAGAGTTGATTATAAAACACTGGTAACAGCATTTAAAAGACAAGGTTCAAGAAGTAGTTGCATTTAATAGCTCACAAGCCAGAAAAGGGTTTGATTTATCAAAAATGTGCTGGACATTAATCCGTAGTCCCTCATTATAATAAATGGGACTATATTATGAAAACTATATTATGGTGTTATTGCACTACACTTTATTCCTTTAATAATTTTGCGGTAGTTGTGCGTTATACTATCGTTTACTTGATTTTAGTTTTTGTGTCATGTGTATCTTCTGAGATCAAAGCAGCTATATCTGTGAGATGTAATATGCAAGTAATCATCATCTAATTATATTTTGTATTTTTTTCCCCAGAGATCTGGAAGAAGACCCGTTGTTCTCAGATCTTTCCCCTGATAACAGACTGTCCAGCCCCGATTGGTTAAGCTGCTCTCCGCCACCAAGCACAGAACACACCAAGCCTGATGGGAAGACGGAGGTTCACAAAATAGTTAACAGGTACCACAGGACACATTTCCATGTCACATCTGACCAGCTCTGATGTGCCAGATTTATCATTTTGTGACAAGATAATAGCTTCCCAGATAATAATTGAGTGTGCTTTCCCTGTAGTTTCCTGTGTTTGGTGCCTGATGAGGCAAAGTCATCCTATCAGGTTGAGGGCACAGGCTATGACACCTACTTGAGAGATGCACACAGACAGGTGAGAAATAAATAAAATAACAAGAACAAAATATGGTGAATATTCAATATATTCCATAGCTTTAATTAACCAATGCTTTAAGAATGTTAACTCTCTTACGTCATGATAATTATATAAGATAAAGATAAGATTAAGTAAATATAAAATAATTTAATTTCATAACTTCATCTCCTTTATTTTTATGGATATTTAAATACTCTTGAAGTGGCACTCTGGTGTTGCCAGTACAGTATTTATATAATAATAATTATTATTTTTATTATATTTATATTTTTAATTTTTATTATTATTTTGAATGTATTTTGTTTTATTCATTCATTGGATTGATTTGAGGGTTTACAGACCTACATTAAATAATTGCCAAAAAACAGTGTCACAATTGTTATAATATTTATTATAATTAAAGAATAAAAATAGTTTTTGTTGTTTATTTGAACATGCAGTGCAACATACTAACATTGTCACAACCAGTGGAGTAAATTTATCTGTTTGGCAGCCAATGGAATAATTATTAAGTAATAATTATAATGTTACTTAATTTTGTTTAATGCATTGTGAATTTATTGTGATGTCATCTCATCAGACATTTTTTTTGATAGATATTCAAATACTCTTGAAGTGACATTGGTGTTGCTAATAATGCATTGTGAGTGTTTTTTTATATTTTCCTGTTTAAATCATATTTGGTTGTATGTTGACAGTTTCGGGACTATTGTGGAGTTTGTCAGAAGTGGGACTGGCGTAGCAGTCCAAAATCCTTTGAGAAGTGTAATCTGGACAGTCCTTTTTTCGAGGGACACTTCCTCAAAGTGTTGTTTGACAGAATGGGGCGAATCCTCGATCAGGTGTGTGAACCTAAGATATTTACTGATGTGACATTCAAAATGACTCCAACATGAGTCTTTGTGCACATTGTGCATGAGCTAGTACAACCTGTGCACTATATCCTATCTATCTATCTATCTATCTATCTATCTATCTATCTATCTATCTATCTATCTATCTATCTATCTATCTATCTATCTATCTATCTATCTGTCTGTCTGTCTTGCTTCAGAAGATATGCAATATAGTGCACAAGTTGTATTTACTATTTCTATACTTGTATGGTGTTTTTGTAATTTTAGAATGCTCATTTCCTTTCTTTACATAGATTATGCTTTTTATTTTTGCTTAAGCAACCTTTAAGTCCGTGTTGGATGCCCTGCTGATGGCTCTCTTGGTCTCTCTCTCTCCATCCAGCCGTATGATGTTAACCTGCAGGTGACATCTGTGTTGTCTAAGCTGTCTCTGCTGCCTCATGCTCATCTTCACGAGTACCTGCTGGATCCGTACATTAACCTGGCGCCAGGCTGCAGGTCTCTCTTCTCAGTCATCGTCAGAGTACGTCTACTGTCCTCCACACTGAATCACTACTGTAAACACAATTAGTGCCAAGCAAAATGATCCAAGCATTTTTCAAGGTGCAAACCTGCCCTTTTGAAATGGACTGCTTTATATGGCCTGTTACACTGTATGTTAATCATACAGCATTATACAATTGCTGACTATCCTTTGATGATGACCATATTAGATTATTGTTGGATGATTTAAATGAAACTAACTCTGACAGGATTAGTTTTTAGTTTTTAATTTAGACACCTCATAGAATGTTGAACCCATTGTTTATATGGATGGTTTGATCAGGTGGTTGGCGATCTGATGTTAAGAACTCACCGCATCCCTGAATTCACCCCTAAACTCCTGCTGGTGAGGAAAAGACTTCTGGGACTAGAGCGAGAGGGGATGAGGTAAGACTTGGATGTATTTGCACAAAAATCGAGAGCAAAGATGCGATTTTCGAACATGAATTAAATGTTTCTTAATATTAAATCAGTGTGAATATATTTTGATTCAATATATGGAAATTTGATACATCACAAGGCCTGGCTTTGAAGAGAGATTGTTTCTTTGCTGAGTATCTGTTTTTCTGTTATATAGAGGTTCATGTTTTGTCTTACAGCGTTGATCATGTGACGCTGCTCGAGGGGGTCATTGTTCTGGAGGAATTTTGCAAAGAGCTCGCCGCTATCGCGTTTGTGAAGTTCCATGCATCCGCCTCCACTTCCCCCTGATCCTCTCGCCACTGTGCACAGGAAACAAACAGATGAATTAACGGGAGGGGGGGAGGGGATGACATAGGAGCGACAAACCAAACTGCACTCATCCCTCAGCGCAGACTGTTGCCTGCGGCAGGACTCGCATTCAAGGATGTTTCATTCGCGTTAACTCTGGGATGTTTCCATAACTCTGACTGAGCGTTCTGTTCTAAAGGCATCCAGAGAGGAGAATTTCATAATGAGACGAGGGAATTGTGACTCTAGTGGAACAGCTCATCTGGAGAGGATTTTGTAGCATTGACATGGAATGAAAAAAGTATAAAACTTCATGCCAAAAAATTAGGTTCAAAAAGTACAAAGAAATCGACTTAAATTCGATTCAAGTCATGAAAAATATAAGGTTAAAAAAAGTTGAATGTGCTAAATTAAATATTTAATTATTGATTGTTTGTCATTTGCAGTATCAAAGATACTGTTATGTTGTTCTCTGTTCTTCTGAGAAAAATAGTTCTAATACAAATGTCAAATGCAGCAGTTAATTTGTAATGACAAATTACAATAACTCAGGATTCAATGTCTATCTGTTTTTAAATAATTGGAGAACCAGAAAACAAGCAGAGTTTTTTAAGCGAATCCTCTCTCATTTTTCTTTCTGGTAGTGATTGCTGGGTTGTTGTTGTTGTTTTTTTTAAGCGAACTGAAAGCAATGCAGACTGGATATATTTGTGATTGGGCACATTTGCACTCAAACCGGTTTCCACTGGTGCATCCCTAGAGAGCTGGTCACCCTTAATGTTCCTGACAGTGTTCCTAAATCATTTTAGTTGTTAAACTTGACGTGTTATGTGTGTGCCTTGGTCTCAGCTAGACAGCAGCTGTGTCCTTCATCCTGTATGTATTATAGATTTTTTTAAAATAATAATAATTTTACAGAATAGTTCACCTAAAATAACTGATAATGTATTCGTCCTTATGTTGTTGAAACTCAAGAGTTTCTATGAAACAACATGCAATAAGGATGAATGATGATAGACATAAAAAGTACCATATAAATGGTTCATACCACGTCTGTGCTTTATACCAAGTCTTCTGAAGCCATTGCAATAGGTTTCTGAACTAAAAGGGGAAATTTAAGTCATATATCAAGATTTTCAGTGAATGACAGTTTAAATTTCAGTCTTTTTCTCACACTGAGCTATCGTGTGATTTAGGAAGACTTGGAATATATTGCACGAGTCATATGGATCACTTTTATGATACTTTTATTGTGCTTTTTTTTTTTTTACAAAGCTTGGTAGTAAAAAATCACTATGAGTGAATGGAAAAGTAAGAAAGAAATTGGTTCGGAACAATATTAGGGTGAGTAAATTATGACAAAATGTAAATTTTTATGTGAACTATTCCTTTTAAAGCTCTGAAACGATCAGCTGGTTTTTGAGTTTAGCTGCTTCCTTACAAGGGATCTTTAACATTGTATGTTTGCATTATGTGGCAGTGTGGTATTATACCAGCAATAGTGTTATTCATCAGGCTGCTCACTTCATCTGCTCCTGCTCTTTGTAAAGGACATGCTGTGCTAAATGCACACCATGTACATTTGGCAAAGAAGGGGCACAGATTGAAATAGGGTTGGGTTTTTAATTTTTGGATGGCTGGCTTCCAGGGCCTTTTCACAATGCCTTGGCATCATGGCTTTATTTAACAATCTTTACAGGTTTCAGATTTATGTATCTCAATCATTACCTTGCATTTTTCCATCCGTACTACAAGCGTATATTTAAAGCTGCATCGCGTCAAGATTTGCGTTTATTTACAAGAATTGCACACTAGTGTCTATTTATCCATTTTACATGTCTGTCTTTTTAATTGTATTTTCTTTAAAAACCAAAGGATGTATCATATGAGCAGCATGACTGCTTCAGAGAGAAAGAACAATAATGCATCTTTTTCTTCTTTTCAAATTCTTGATCATGCACATTTTATACCGAGTTCAGAACTGTGTATATAAATGTACAGTTATAACAGTAGTGATGTCTGGTGTGAAATGCATGCAAGGCCATATCTGTTCATATGCAGCAGAGTAATGCATATTCCCTTTCTATCTCCCCTTCCAATGTTTCTTTTTTATTGTTTTGCCTATTTATGGGGATATTTGTGATGCCTTATTT